AGGTGGCACCACCCCTCCTTAGGACTGCGATTGTGAGGTAATCTCCCCAAATGGGAAGGTGGAGACAGAAAAAGCGAAACCAAAACAAAGCAGAATAATATCTATAGCGGTCACATCGATAGTAATTATCAGAGGCAGTGTCTGAAGTCAGGGCTGGCTGGCATCCACAGTGGAGGCTGTAAGGACACTTTACGCAGTCCCTCATAAAACAACTTCCCCTCAAGAGAGAAAGTCTCCTTTTGCTGAAGTCTAATGTTTCCTTTTAATTCTGACTCCAAGCCCTTTTTATTCCCTTTTATTCCCATCAACAAATGCCTTTCCATTGCTGACTATACAGCTATATCCCTTTGCCGCGGACCAGCACAGCAGTAGGCAATGAGGCCGTCTCAGGGTTGAGAGACTGCGCAGGGTGGTCAGGGATTCGGTTAAAGAAATGACAAACAGACACACTTCAAGAGAGAGTGTAAATCTGAGTGTAACTTTATTTTTGTTAGTGGTCAGTATATATATGTTTTTTCTAAAGGCATAGGAACAGTGAACATCAAAGAAATCAGTTTGTTCATAGGTTTAGCTTATCATTGACAGGGCAGTGATTTATGTCCAAAATACATCTGGACCTAGCCGCATTCCTAAGTAGACAGGCTATTAACTCTTTCTATATTCTTGTACTAATTACTACTACTATTACCTACTTATGTTTACTCATAATTAATTGTCATAGGTAAATTTATATTATAATGCAGTTAATATCAAAGGTACTAAAGTTAAGCACATAATAGAAAGATTATTAAACCAACAATTCTATTATAACACAGTGTTTAGTAATGTTTCATTTGCATTAGCCTAATTATTAAATTACGTATGTTTTTTAATTAGCAATCAATGACCAGAAAAAGGAAAGATTTTAGAGAGACAGTTGTAGCAGAATAAAGTTTATGGTCCTTGAGAAAGCGAGATAAGGTTCCAGGTGGTCAGCATTTCTTTTAATCATCTTTGTGGCAGCTTCTGGTGGTCGTTATCTCTTGGCAGGCATTCGGCTTCTCTGCATCTTAGGGAGTTTGCTGTTCTCCCCCTGCGCGCATGGTTCCTTGCCCACGCCGGACCTCAGGGACCATGGCAACAGCCATTAGCCCTGAGGGTCACTGCAGGGGGAGGTGCAGCATCCCTTCAGCTTAAAAATGGCACATCAGGGCCTCCCTGGTGGTCTAGGGGTTAGGTCTCAGTGTTATCACCATGATGGCTTGTGTTCAATCCTGGCCAGGGAGCTAACCCACATGATGCAGTAGACCTCTCCTGTCTCCCACTGCTCCCCTCAGCAGTGTATTTCAATCAATCTGCCTGTTCTGTTCCCCACTCTGTCTCTGGTGAATCCTCTCACCCCCTGTACCTCTGGCCTACACCCCAGTTCTTCTATGCAAAAATTAAATAAATAAAATCTTAAAAAACAATAAAATTGTTACATCACCCACATATTTTCTCAGAACCTTCTCCTTAGTCTGGGGCCTTTTGACCAGATCTCATGGGTATGAGATCTGGCCCTCGTGGGCCTGGGTCAGATATCTGACTTCTCCACATCCCCCTGTGAGGAGGGACCCTCGATAACACTCAGTATATTGTCATGTTATTACAAGCATTAATTCCATCATGGCTGGGGATAAGAATGGGTAATAACCACAAATGGGTCATGAGGGAGTTTTGGGGGATGCCAGGAAGCTTCTAAAATTGGACAGTAGTGATGGCAATACGACCTTATAAATTTACTAAAACTCACAGGATTGTCACTGAGTGAGTGGATTCTATGACATATAAACTACACTTCAATAAAGTTAGAAAAAAAATGAAGGCCATGCGAACAAATATTTCTCTGACCTCATCCCCTCCTCTCTGCAGATATCCCTCAACTTTTTCTAAGCAAGAATCATTTAAGGCTTCTCTCTAACTAGCTCATTTAACCGGGCCACCTTCTATCCCAACCCCGAAGAAACATAGGAGTCAGGGTTGTATATATAGAAAAGCCAAATTTGGGGCCAGTCAGACCTGAGTTCAAATCCTCGACTTCTTCTGTGGTCACTTGGGGGAAATGTTTACCTTCTGAACTTTAGTTTTCAAACCAGTTCAGTGGGGAAAACTCCATTTGGCTGTGAGAATGAAATGAGACTATACAGTGAAATATCTGTCACTAACCCAGCAGAGGTCATGGCTCACTCCCCGGCTTGGGGGCAGAGTCTTTGCTGAGGCTTCCAGCTTTCAGTGATGTGTTTTCTCTCACCCTTTATGTTTATTTCTCTCAGCTGGCATGCATTTCTCCTGGGGGCTTAAACCAGCTCTAACTTACGCTCCCTCTCTTGCCTGTGCCCTAACAATTATCTTCACACTAGCTATCAAAACGATTTTTCAACATTAAAAAAAAACTATGAATATGGCTCCATGGTCCTCCATGAAAGCCCTACTGTTCCCCATTGCTTACAGAATGGGGTCCAAAGCCTGAGCCTGGCATCCAGTCCCTCAGGATGACGTGGCACTTGCCCCACCTCCTGAGTCTCCCCTTTTGTCTCTAAACACTCATAGCCAAGGCTCCTTCCTGACTATCGTCCTGATCTTCCTCTATGGAAATCTCCTGTCTCTTCTCCCCACCTAGGAAGCCTTTGGGCAATTCACTTCCCCTATGTAAGGGGCAGGAAGGACCACAGTGCAGGTTCTCTGATCCCATGCAGACCGGGTAAAGGAGGAGTCAGAGTCCTCAGTGGTTTTTTGCAGGTCTTTTATTGGGGTTCACCAGGCATATGGCAGGCAGGGGTGCTGGCTGGGGGGCTGGCAGGCTGGCAGGCCTCAGCAAGGCTGGCAGCCCCCAGCAAGTCTTCACTCTATCTGGACTCTCTGGCGTTCGTTCTGCTGCTTCTCGGCTTCTGCTTTGGGTTCTTGGCTTCTGCTGCTGCTGGCGTCCCCGTGACACCACCCTTAAAAAGCACAGTCTTAGCCCAGGTGAATCTCATCTACCTATGCCCGCACCCTATTCCAGGTGCCCGCCATCAGGCATGCATTCAAAAACTCAAGGATCCATCATCTATCCTGATGGCAGGAGGGCAGAAAAGCCTGACATTTTTCCTTACCCTACACCCTACCTCTCAGTTTTGTTCTATATGAGTTGGAGGTGATTTCTACTTCTTGTTTTGAGGATTAATAATACTGACAAATGCAAGTCTGGGGCCTGGATGACAATACAAACAAAAATGAAAAACATCTACAAGACTAGTTAGCCACAGCTGTATTCACTGTGTACATTATTTGTGTGGTCTGCAAATTATTAAACAACATGCCAGGTGTGCTAGAGATTGCTAGATCTTCCCCAGTAACTGTCTTCCCTTTCTTCTTAAACCATCCTGAATTTTAGTTAGTGGTTGCCCAGAATAAGGAAAATATTTCCAGCCTACCTGGACACTAAGCGTGGCCATCTGGATGGACTCTGGCAGATGAACTGTTGTGGAAACCGAGTGTGCAAATTCTGAGTGGTCTGCTTGAAAGGAAAGTTGTGTGCTTCTTTCCTCCTTCTCCTTTTTCTGTGTCTGCAATGGATACTTGACAGTGCGAACTCGAGCAGCCTCTTGGATTATGAAATGAAACTGCCTGAGGAGGATGATGGAGCATCAAGTCAGAAGGGAATCTTTTTCCTTGCTGAATTGTGAACCTGCTACATTATGCTTAACTGCTAGTCTAGCCTTTTACCTAAGGAAAAGATTCATCAAAGAAATCCAGTTTGTCTTTTGGAGTCATTGTTTGGGGGAAAATATCTGCTAAAACAGTTGAATTAATGTCTTAAATAATACATCAGATGATGTTATAGGTTGCAAGACAAATTTCTTGCATTCTAATGGGAGAGACAAAAGATTAAACAAAAATAAATCTAAAAAGAATAGATAAATCTATGACAGTCACCAAACAAATTATGAGGATGCAGAGTGATGCAGGTAGGAGCACTGTTCTCTAGGGTGGCCCAGAAAATCTTCTGCAAGGAGGTGATATTTGTGATCAGACTGACCTAGGCATGGGAAGGCACAGGACCTAGACATGGGAAGGCCTGCGAGAAGAGCTGTACAGGGAAGATCCCGGGGAGCTAAGTGGGAACAAGAGCTGCAAGTTCAAAGTCCAAAAAGATATCCTTCTAGGAAAAAGAAAAATATCGGACGGTTTCATTTATGGGAGGAACACAGGGAAACTATACAAGGGATCAGAGAAAAAAAAAAAAGACAGAACTGGCAGGCAAACTATAATGGGAGATTCTGCAGGGGACGGAGAGGGAGAGGGAGCAAAACAGCGCTGGGAAGGGCACAAGAGACAATGGTGATGGTGCACAGGTGTCTTGATGATGGGAATTTTGTGGGGACTTCACCTGAAAGGAGAAATCAAACATTGTACAAAAATGAATAACAATGTAAAAATATATAGATAAAAATGAAAAAAAAAAGAAAAAAGATACTTCTGTTAGACAGCTGAGAATAAGTACTTTTTTTTTTTTTAAGATTTATTTATTTATTTATACAAGCACTGGGTACAGTCAGAAGCTCAGGAGGGTGAGAGAATTCAGCAGAGCCAGAGCAGGGAACAGAACAGGCAGACTGACGAAATACACTGCTGAGGGGAGCAGCGGGCGGCAGGAGAGGTCTGCACACCATGTGGGACCCTGGCCCGGTGGGTGGGGATCGAACCAGTGCTGCAGAGGCTGCAGGCAGCTTCGCAACCCAGCGCTCAACCGCTGCGCCACTGGGAGGCCCTAGAATAAGTTCTTTTTAAAAATGAAATGTTTCTTGATACATATGTAACTGTTAATTAATTGATATTTTGGGTAGTCTCAGGAAGCCAAATACCTGTAATTTGCCTGTCTCTACCAGCAAGAGGCATGGGTGCTGGCCAGTTTCCCATACTCTAATCTTGTGCTTTGCTACATCTGCCACGTACTGTCCTTTGGCCAGACTGAGCCCATATAAACTTCTCCTGCTATAATTCACTGCCCACAGCCCTGCCAATAAAAGTGAGGCTCATCCCTGCTGCAAGGAGCTCTGTTCTTACTCCCTGCAGCACAGTCACCTTCTCCTCCTGCAACCTGCCAGCCATGAAGCTCCTTTTCCTGACTCTTGCCATCTTTTTGGCCTTGGAATCAGGTAACTTGGGTCTCTTCCCAGTGTCTGGGATCCTGATCATGAACTTCTTCCTTCTCCCATATCCCTACTCCCCCACGCTATGGGTAGCAACTGAAACCTTTCCTTATTTCATGTGGCTTTGGGAGGTTTCCCCACGATCATCTCATGTCAATCTCATTTTTAGCAATAGTGGAATGATAGATCTTTAGAGCACCTGGTACTTAAGGGCAGTATAGTATTCTGGTGAGAGTCTTTGGACAGGGGTTAGGGATGATGGAGTGCAGGCAGACTGGGAACTTGTTGGAAAGTTTGTGAGATTAGATTGAAGGCTGGGAGGGGTGTTATGATAGCGGAGAAAGAACTTGGAGTGATGATTAGGATGTTGAACTTGGAGTGATGATTAGGAGTTGGAGAGAAGATTAGGATGAGCTAGAGGTGAGGAGTTGGGCTTTATTGCTAGTTTAAGGTGGGCTGGAGAGGCGACGGATTTGGGGTTGAGTGGAACTGGCTTGAGGATTAGGTTGGAGCTTGGGCTGAGGGTTGCTACTGAATGGAGTGGAGTGTTTGAGGTTCAGCTTGGTGATGGATTGTTGCTTAGATGTGAGGTTGGTGACCTGACTAGATTTGGGCTTGGCTTGGAGTTGGGACTCAAGGGACTGGGAATTCTAATTAAGATTGGACTGGGGGGGGGGGCTCCCCTGGTGGTGCAGGTGGTTGAGTGCAGTGCTGTGAAGCTGTCCACAGCTTCTGCAGTGCGGGTTAGATCCCAGCCAACCGGCAAGATACCCACATGGCATGGCAGACCTCTCCTGTCGCGCCCACTGCTCCCCTCAGCAGTGTATTTCAGTCAATCTGCCTGTTCTGTTCCCCACTCTGTCTCTGGTGAGTCCTCTCACCCTCCCATACCTCTGGCCGGTACCCCGGTTCTTGTATGCATAAGTAAATCTTTAAAAAAAAAAAGATTGGACTGGGTTTTGAGTTTGAGTTGGGTGAATATGGAGTCAAAGAGGATTGGAGAGTGGATTATTGTTGGAGCTGGAGCTCCTTGGACTCAAAGCTCTTCTCAAGAGCTCTTCTCTCCTTTCCAGGAACTGCGGTCAGCATTATTTACATAACCTGCTCACTCCTTGCCTTCCCTTTCCTCCTACTTGCCCTCTTGCCTCTCCTCTTAAGGGATACTAACATTTGCTTATCTGTTGTTCCCGTGCCCAGCAGATAGATGTTGGATGGATGGAACATGCCGACTGGTATGCAAAAGTGATGAACAAAAGCTCATACGCTGTGTAAATCGCAAACGGTGCTGTGTCCTTACTCGTTATTTAACAATCCAACCAATGACAATTGATAGACTGCTCCCATGGACCACTTCTCAGCCAAACAGTGGAGATCAGAACAAGCAAGGGGAACAGAGACCATGAGTTGAAATGAAATGACTTTGGTTCAGGATCTAACTCTCATACTCCATTAAAACTCACAAATTTGATTCTGTGTCTGTCAATCTGAGGAATGGCATGCAAAGGGATTGAGGGTGAAGAGATGACAGGATGGCAGTTAAGAAGCAATGGACAGTCATTGCTGGGGCTGATCCATGGTAATGGGGTGAGGGTAGTGATAACAGTCGTGAAGATAGTTTCTCATCTACCAGTCACAGGAAAGGCTACTGGGTCAGGAGTGGATTAAGGAGCACATGTAGGAAGCCAAGAGATTTTTTTTAAAAAAGATTTTATTTTTATTTATACAAGAGCTAGAGCTAGAGTACAGGCCAGAGGCACGGGAGAGTGAGAGAATTCACCAGAGACAGAGCGGGGAGCAGAACAGGCAGACAACTGAAAACACTGCTGAGGGGAGCAGCGGGCAAGACAGGAGAGGTCTGCCGCACCATGAGGGTATCTCCCTGGCCAGCCGGGAATCGAACCAGCACTGCAGAGGCTGCGGACAGCTTCACACTTCATGGTGCTGCACTCAACCCGCTGTCCCACCATGGAGGCCCAAAACCAAGAGATTTAAAGGCACAGAAACTACTCAGAGAGTGGGAGAATCCCTGGGTTGGAGAGTTGACTCATCTTGGGGGGTAGTGGGCTGGGGGAGAACAGAAAGTGAGTAGAGCCCAAACCTTGGTGTTGCTGAATGTGGACCCACTAACTGATGGCAAAGAAGCCCAAAGCCATGACACCAACTTTTGAGGAAAGAACCCATTTAATGTGGGATCACCTCGAAGGAGACTGGAGGCAATGGTCTCAAATCAGTCTCCCCAGTGATGGAGCTTTGGGAAGCATTTATGGGGTTGGAGAACAAATACAGAAAATGCATATAGGTAGAGTACAGTTTGACTGGTTACTTTCTGCTGAATCATGGTGTAACTCAAATTTGGATCCAGAACTACAACAGACTGAATATCCCTTGCTTCTAAATGCTGCTCATAGAACCATGAGTCGGGCTTTTTAATTCTATCTTCCATGGCTATTTTCGATCTGGGCAGTGAGATGTCACCTCAAGGACAGCAAACACTTCTCTGGCCTACGTTCTGAAACATAACTTGTCAACTTAGGAAAAATTACCCCCGCCTCCCTATTTAAAATGGGTAGGTGTGTATTTTTGTCCTATTGTTGCAAGCCCACCCTGCTGTCCTTGCTAGATAAGCAGAAATAGGAAATGACCATCATGACCCATGATTTCACAGGTTTCTGGGGAAGTTGACTGAGATGCTTTTTAATGATTGAGAACCTACAGACTTAAGACTCAAAAGGTTTCCAAGTATTAAAAAGAAGATGAAAGCACATGAATTTACTCATTTATAAATGAAATTGTTCATTATTCCTTTTTTACATTCTTTTATGGATCCATTCATTCATTCATTTCCACTCTGCCACTTCGCAGTGTGAGACTCTGCACACACAGTAGGTCCTCAAATAACATCATTTCACTCAACCTTATTTTGTTATGTTGATGGATGGAAAACAATTGATGCCTGGCTGGGCGGGCGGCTGTCTGCGCACATCTCCCCTTGTCTGTGTGGGTTTTCTCTGGGCACCGCAGCTCTCTCCCACTTCCCAAAGAAGTGCACGTTATGTTCTCTGGGCTGTCTCCATTGTCCCAGGCTGAGCGAGTGTGGGTGTGCATGGAGGGCATGCTGTGATGGCAGAGTGTCCTGTCCAGGGTGCCTGTGCCCTGAGCTGCCAGGACAGGCCCCGGCCACTGTGACCCTGAACTAGAATAAACAGATTGAAAAATCAATGAAAAATTATTTTTTAGTATTAGAAATACTTTGGGTCTTGACTTAGAAGTTTGGTGATTTTTTTCGGACCAGAAATATGACATAGAAACTTGACTCTTATTTCAATCAATGAGCTTATGGTAAAATTGGCTTCCCTAGTTGACATTTCACATAAAGTCAGAGTTTCCAAGCACCTATAGATGAGTTTAAGTGAGGGCTTACTGTACGCATCTCATTGCTTCAGCTTCCCCAGCTATAACATTAGAGTAACAGGATCAACCTCAGGATGCTGTAAGAATAAGATGAGGTAACAGCACAGATCACAGCATGTGCAAGTCCTCAATAAATGCGAGCTGTTGTTATTGTTCCCTGGTTTATTCCAGCACTTACAGAGGATGTGCTGTGTGCCTTGCAATTGTCTTAGACTCTGCAGGAGAGGGAGATAGAAGCTGCCAGAGACTCTGCCTCCCCCGAACCCCCAACACCTGCACCACGCTTTGAGTAGCTGCCTCCTGGAACTCCTTACCCGAAGATCCCTTTACCTGCTCAGGATGGTATAGGCCTTTCCCCTAGGTGCACTCTGGAAGGATGGGGTCCGCCATGTGTGCACTCCTAGGCAGGAGTGCCACGGGGCCCACCTATTTGTAGCCGCTTGGGCAGAGTATGGGTGTTCATTTGACTCTGCTTAGCAGTGTAGACAGGATGTAACGCAGCCTCTGCACCTGGCTCAAGGTGGTTCTTATTATCCATTAGTTAGTTTGCTCTGACAACACGCAGACCTCACAATGTGGGAGGTGGACGGGCACGAGTCTAAGGATTTTCCAATACCTGGGGGCCAGCGTGACCCTCTCCACACACAGCATTCAGGTCTCTACTGAATGAATCTATTACAAGGCATTACTGACTCACTCCGTCAGCATTTACTAAAAGCCTCCTCCATGCTTAACCTGGGGCATATAGACAACCCTGGAGAGTTACTACTGGAAAAAGTTACTACTGAAAAAAAGGCTTGGAACTCCCCACAGAGCTATAGTAAGCTCTCAGAAGACACTTAGGGGAGTGGCTGAATCTCTTGAGGGTGTACATATGCAAATTTTTGAAAATTCCCTCAGATCAGCCCTTTGGGAGGTGATTGCCTCTCAATTCCCTGGCCTTCCTTCATTACAGGAGGCTCTCAAACCTTGAGGACCTCTGATCCTCCTGGTTCACAGATGGGGAAGCTGAGGTCTGAGGAAGATAAGTGACCTATGTTCAGGAGTAGATTTTAGACAACACCGGGATGGAGGAGCAGGTCTTGTCTAACTTCTGGAGAGAGGGTGGTGGGAACATGGAAGGTGAGGCTTGCTAGATATGGTGTCAGCAGTGCTGGCCCAGGGTGACGTGGGGCTGACGGGAGTGGGAGGTCAGGAGCTGCAAAGTCCCTGACAGAAGCTTTAAGGGTTTGGGCACTTGGGAATCTCTTTCTGGGGTGCCATGGCCTCTCTCTAGGAGGAAAGTTTGACGCAGGCTGAGCAGCTGCTTCGCCATCCCTGGTGTATGGGTCTGTCTGTCCCTTTTGGGGATGCTCATCTCCCATGGTCTTTCTTCTCAAGGTTCTCTCTGGGGATGTGACAGCAAGGGTGTGGCATTTGCTCTCTTAAGGCTTCCTTGAATCTCTCTTTCCTCCTTGTAAGATGAGGGCGATGAGGGTGGGTAGGAACAGTGGCAGCAGAGGGCTCGAGGGCGGGGGGCTGATCTGGCAGTTGTGGGGCACTGTGATCACACAGCAGGGAAGACTGGGCATCAGCCCTGGGCCTTTTCTGGGACTGATGCACAGGCCTGCCGCTGTAGCTAACACCCAATTCAGCTTCTGTTCTGTACTCAAGAATCCATAATTGAAGCTACATTTGATACTCGGATGAAGGATTTTTCTTTGATTCTTTTCCAAATCTCACAGGAGTAAATATATTTCTTCCTCTCTCTCCACACCCTTGCTTAGGCAACATATGTTCTCTGGTCAAAATAAAAATGAAATCTATCCCTTTATTTAATGCTAGTACTTATGATCTCTCTCTTTCTCTCTCTCTCCGTGTGTGTGTGTGTTGCATGAACTTACATTCCCATCAACAGTTGACAAGGGTTTTCTTTTCTCCATGTCCTTGTCAGCTTTTTATTTTGAAATAATTATAATTCACAGGAAGTTGCAAAGATAATACAGGCATTGCAAAGATAATACAGTACCTATATTTTATGTAACTACGGAACAATAGAGAAGTCAGGAAACTGATATTGATGAAATGTGTGTATCTACTTCTATGGCATCTTATTGGAAGTGTAGATTTATGCAAGCACCACCATGGTTAAGAGTTCCCTGCTGTTCCTCTTTCAGAGCAGCACAGACCCTCCTCCTATCTTTTATCACTATCGCTAACTCCTGGCCACCGACAATCAGTCTCCCATCTCCATAGGTTTGTCATTTTTAGCATGTTGCATAAATGAAATCATAGGAGATCTTTTGAGAAGTAAGAATAGCTAAGACAAGTTTGAAAAGGAATAAAGTCACAGGAATAATGGTACTAGATTTTAAGACTTATGTAGCTATAGTAATCAAGCCTGCGTGATATTAGTGGAGAGACACACAGACCAATGAGACAAAACAGAAAACGCAGAAATAGCCCTACACAAGTGAAATCAATGAATTTTAAAAAACATATGTGCAAAAACAATTTACAGGAAAAAAAGGTATCCTTGTTAACATACAGTGCTGAAGCAACTGGACATTTGTAGGAAAAAAAGAACCTCAGTCTCAACCTCACATCTTATACCAAAATTAACTCAAAATGAATCACAGATTTAAATAAAATGTAAAACTTTTAGAATAAAACATAGGAAAAAGCACACAGACCTAGGGTTAGGTAAAGAGTTCTTACATATGAAGAGCACAATTCGTAAAAGAAAAAAATTAATAAATTGAACTTTAAATTTAAAGCTTATACTCTGCAGGAGACCCTGTGAAAAAGATAAGTAAAAAAATTATAGACTGGGGGAAGTACTTGCAAATCACCTATTTGACAAAGGACTTTTATTTCGAATATAGAACCAAAGCTCAGAACTCAACTGTAAAAATCAAGTACTCCAATTAGAAAGCAGACACGAGAAGAGACATTTCACTGAAGAGGATGTACAGATGGCAATGAGCACGTGAAAAGATGTTCAACATCACAAGCAATTAGGGAATGCAAACATCATTAGCAATTAGGGAAAAGCAATTAGGGAATTAAGATCACTATGAGATTCCACTATATACCTATTAGCACAGCTAAAATTAAAAATACTGGCAATATCAAACGCTGGCAAGGATGCAGAGAAACTGGGCCATTTATACATTGCTGGTGAGAATATTAAATGGTAAAAATACTCTGGAAGTTAGTTTGGCAGTTTATTTTTTAAAAACTAAATATATACTGACCAT